TAATAAGCACATTCCATGAAATTCAAAATAGCAGAATCATCTTTAACAAATGAGTTTGAGCATTAGGCAGCACAAATGACATATCACAAATTGCTGTAGATTGTGCATCCATAATCTGAAAATCCAAAGTCTAAAGTTTTCCAAATTATAGAATTCTTAGGATCAGTACTACTTGTGAATTTCCATATTGAGCTTCAAATAGTAGCTTCAGTCAACATACAGGGATGCTAAGAGTATTGTGTGAAATTCCTTTCTTTTATTTCATATAAGTTATATGCGAAACAAAAATAAGTTTTTTGTTTAGACTTGAATTCTTTCTTTAACATAACTTGTGATGTATATATACATCTAAATCCAAATTGAAATCTAAACCCAAACTCAAAATAAATCTAAAATCAAATCAAAGCTCCCTGGTGCCAAGTATTTCAAATAAGGGTTAATTGGTCTACATAAACATCATGTACAATGATCTAAAATAAATCTATTAACACTTGCATCTGTAGCCTTTGAAAAAACTCCAAGCTCAGATTAAGAAAGCAAGCAACACATTTTCTGAAAAAGTTTCTTATCACATTGAGGAAAATTTCTTCTATATGGATTAAAGACTGTGATATACATTTCTGCTCAGAAATATGAAATTCATCTTTGCCTCCTCTGATAAGCTCATGTGAATTGTTTAAAATTTAACTTGCTTACGTAGTATTACTACTCTATTTTTGTCCCTGCAGTTCTTTCAGACAGAAACAATTATGGGTCAGAGTTTTTGACTGTGGGAATGCAATTTTGTCCCTCACTTGATGCCCTGACTTTCTGCTGGAGGTGGGCTCTATAAGTAGGACATTTCATCTAAGGTCCTTCCCTTTGAGTCCTGAGAGTCTCTCACCTCCTAAGTCTCTGGTACATTCTGGAGAGTCCCCCCCACCTCCTACCTCCAGAGGTTGGCTGTTTCCATGGTTTCTGCTGGTCATCAGGGCCTAAGCCCTTTTCCCCCTCCCAATACCTGATCAAGGTCCCCTATTCCCCCCGATCTTTCCCCTTTACCACCATGTCCCTTTCTTCCTCCTCACTCCTGTAATTTTTTTCTCCCTCCCAAGTGGGATTGAGGCATCCTTACTTGGGCCCTTTGACTTGTTAACCTTTTTGAGTTCTGTGGACTGTATCCTAGGTATTCTCACTTTTTTGGCTAATATCCACTTTTAGTGAGTACATACCATGCATATCCTTTTGGGTCTGAGTTACCTCACTCAGGATATTTTCTAGTTCCATCCATTTGCCTACAAAATTCAGGATTTCTCTATTTTTAATAGCTGAGCTGAGTAGTATTCTACTGCGTACATGAATCACATTTTCTGCATCCATTCTTCTGTTGAAGGACATCTAGGTTGTTTCCCGGTTCTGGTTATCATAAACAAGGCCCCTATGAACATAGTAGAACATATGCCCCTGTGGCATGGTGGGGCATCTTTTGGATATATGCCCAAGAGTAATATAGCTGCATCTTCGAGTAGATCTATTTTCAATTTTCTGAGGAATCTCCAGATTGATTTCTAGAGTGGTTGAAACAGTTTGCAATCCCACCAGCAATGATGGGATCCTCGAAAACATGTGCTGTCAGCTGAGATTTTGATCTTAGCCATTCTGATTGGTGTAAGGTAGAGTCTCAGGGTCATTTTGATTTGCATTTCCCTGTTCACTAAGGATTTTGAACATTTCTTTAAGTCTTTCTCAGCCATTCAAGATTCCTTTGTTGTGAATTCTCAGTTTAGTTCTATACCCTATTTTTTTTTGATAGGGTTGTTTGTTATTTTGGTGGTTAGCTTCTTGAGTTCTTTATGTATTTTGGATTAGCCCTTTATCAGATGTGGTGTGAGTGAAGATTTTATCCTAATCTGTAGGTTGTGATTCGTCCCATTGTCTATGTCCTTTACATAACAAAAGCTTTCCAGTTTCATTAGGTTCCGTTTATCAATTCTTGATCTTAGAGAGTGAGCCATTGGAGTTCTGTTTAGGAACTTTCTACTTGTGCCAATGAGTTCAAGGTTCTTTCCTACTTTCTCTTCCATTAGGTTGAGTGTATCTAGTTTTATGTTGAGGTTCTTAAGAGCCTGAGGAAAAGGAGCTCCAGTGACAGGCCCAAAGTGGAATCTAGCTAATGGGGAAGCTCCAAGGCCTGACACTATTACTGAGGCTATGGAGTACTCACATAAAGAAGCCTATCATGATCCAACTGCTGTCTAAAAGATCCAACAAGCACCTGAAAAAGTCAGATGCAGTCATTTACACCCATCCAATGGACAGAAGCTGCTGACCCCTGTGGTTGAATTAGGGAAAAGTTGCAAGAAGCTAAGGAGGAGGGTGACCCTATAGGAGGATGAGCATCCTCAAATATCCTGGACCCCTGAGATCTCTCAGACACTAGGTCATACATACACCAGCATACACCAGGCAGCATACACCAGCTGATATGAGGACCCCAATACATATTTAGCAAAGGACTTCCATGTCTGGGTTCAATCAGAGACGATGAACTCAACCCTCAAGAGACTGGAGGGAACTCCTCCAGGGATTGGGGAGATCTGGTGAGGTAGACTGTGTGAGGGTATGGGGGCATCCTTGTAGAGACAGGGGGAGGAAGTATGGGATCTGGAATAGTCAGAGGGTGTACCGGGAAGAAGATGAAATAAGCAGTAAAAAAAAAAGCTTAAGTAAAAATTTTTAAAAAGTATTACTACTCTAGTTGGTGACATGAAGATGGGACATTGAAACCTAAAAATGAGACAGACTAAAATCTTATGAAATAGCCAACTGATTTAGTTAGGGTTCTACTGCTGTGAACAGATACCATGACCAAGGCAACTCTTTTAACAACAACTCTTAATTAGAGCTGGCTTACAGGTTCAGAGTTTCAGTCCATTATCATCAAGGTGGGAGAATGGCAGCATCCAAGCAGGCATGGATCAGGAGTAGCTGAGAGTTCCACATCTTTATCTGGAGGTTGCTAGGAGAATAGTGACTTCCAGGCAGCTAGGACTAGGGTATTATAGCCCATGTGACAGTGGCACACCTACTCCTAACAAGGCCATACCTGTTCCAACACACCACACCACACCTCCAAAGAGTTCCACTACCTGGGCCAAGCATATACAAGCCATCATACTAACTATATTCAAACATCAGACAATTTATATTCTTAGGGCTAGACAATGTCAGATGATCAAAGTTCACATCTTTAAAGTGTATACAGTCACAAGGGCAAGGTGTATAAAGCTGCAAGGGAAACAGTGGTTAGAAATATCATCTGAATAATAGTAAGATGATGGAAAATATGGTGTAAACCCACTCCTATTTACTACAACTGGGAGGAGGACAAAATCATATTCCAAGAGCAAACCTCTGTTTGGGAGGAACAGCAGTCACAGGATTATAGAACGTGCACTGGCACGGGATCACATCCAAAACCTTGGTTTGTGTAATCTGGATGAAATGAAGATGTGCCATACACCTTTAATACCTCCGGCTGGAATACAGAAATCTTTAAGGTAAAAATTAGTTTATAGAAGGAAGCAACCATGTTTGAAAGTGACAACTAATTGAGGAGTAGACAAAGTGATGAATCAGCAAAAGACTTGACAGAATGAGTCAGAGATAGATAGAATGTGCCCAACTCTCAAGATAACAGCATAGGAAAGAAGCTATTTAAGAGCAGTGCAGGGCTCTTTTCTTCCTCTACAGCTCTGGCACCATAGCCATCATGAATGACATGGCAACCATCTGGACCAGGAAGTTCATGACAAACCTGCTTCAGAGGAAACAGATGGTCATTGTTCTCCTTCATTCCAGGAAGGCAATAGGTACCAAAGACAGAAATTTGGGAAAAGCTGCCCAAAATGTACAAAACCACATCAGATGTCAACGTTATATTTGGATTCAGAACACACTTCAGTTGGTGGCAAGACAATTGATTTTTGGCATGATCTATGATATTTTTAGACTATGCAAAGAAGAATGAGGCTAAACACAGACTTGCAAGACATGACCTTAATGAGAAGAAAAAGACCTCTTGAAAACAGCAAGAGGAATGCAAGAACAGAATGAAGAAGGTCAGGGGAACTGCAAAGGCCAATTTTGGTGCTGGCAAAAAGCCAAAGGACTAGATCTGCAGTGACTTGATGTTTTGCTGTGATGTGCAGATTTTTGAGAGAACAAATAAACTAAAAAGCTTCAAAAAAAAAAGGCAGTGCAGGGAGAAAGAGTGAGTTAGTTGGTCAGTCAGCTCATCAGTAAGAAGGGAGTTGAGTCAGTTGGTAGTCAGTATAGTGAGTTCAGAGCAGTGAGTGCACTGTAGTGTCGGTAGTACAGTAGAGTTGAGTTTGTTTGTGAATTTGTGCAGTTCAGCGTGTGTCAGCAGAGGCAGTTGAAGTCAGAGAATAAGAAGGAACCAGAAGATTAGAACAAATTGTTTGAGTTAGTTTGAGGCCAAGCAAAGTAATTCAGTGAGAAGCTGAGAGAAACCAGTTTGAATCAGTCAGCTTGGAGAGTAGTTTGAGTTAGAACAGTTGAGTTGAACCACTCAACCAGAGTTCAGAAAGAGGCAGAAAGAGTGAGCTTACTCAAATGATCTCCAAGAAAATGAATATACCTAGAGACTAAAAGTTACTTTTACACAATACTGTTGTCTTGTTTCTTGGAGTTGTCTCACAAGCCCTCAGAATTCTCCTCACACAGCTTAATAATGTAGGTTAGCGGTCTTTGTGAATAATTGAATGAACTTCATATCTGGAAAAATCCTGCTTGAACATTGTATATATTTTTTGTACATATGGCTGAAGTAACTTGCTATTATATTACAGTTTCCTATCTTATTCATAAATTATATTAGTCAGTCATTTTCTTCTCCTGTAAATTCTTTGGATTATGTTATAGCCTCATAGAATGTGTTTCTCTTGTGCGATACAGTGTGGATGAATGTCTTCATCCTTAAATGAGAAGAAGACTCCACAACAGCTTCTAGATGCATTGCAGGTATGGCTGCTGTGTTATATGTGTATCAGTTAAGTGGCAGAGAGGAGACGGGCTATATACTCAGTATTCTGACCTGTGAACATCTGAATGATTAGTAGTCCAACACTCCCTGACAAAAGCAAGCCTGATACAATCAACCACTAGTTAGCCCCATGGGGCACAGACAAGGAGCTAGACTGAAATGGCCACCAGTCCAGCACTGTATAGACCGTGCGGTTGGGAACAGACCATACCCAAGACAACACTGACCCAGTGCAATGGATCTCCTGAGAGCACTCCAAATAAGATCTCAGACACTCAGAGAGCCTGAGTGCTACTAAGAGGAGCAGTAGAGAAATGGAAAGGAAAGAGAAACAGAAGAATGTGAGCACAATGAAGAGAGGCAGAACTGGGGACTCGTGGGGAACAAGGAGTAGCCTGATGTGAGTAGTTGGTAAAGCCACCAGGAACAATGGTGGGATCCTAGCCTGTGCAACCACTGGGGGCCATATCTGAGTCCATAGGCCTGTAGCAGCAGGGGTTTGCTACCACCAAAAGTCAGGCAGACATCCCTGGTCTGGGGTGTCACCCAGAGACAAGTTGATGTTTGAGGGCTTCACAAAACTGGCCCTATCCAAAGTTAAAAAATGGAGGAAACAAAATAAAACAAAAAAACAAAAGCTAGAAGAAGAAGGAGGAGAAGGGGGAGGCAGAGGAGGAGGAGCAGGAGGACGAGGAGGAGCAGCAGGAGGAGCAGAAGAAGCAGGAGAAGATTAGAAGATTCCACAAGTTCACATCTCTCTGGATCTGGTTAATAATGGTCTAGATTTTAAAATATTTATTCAGTTAGGAAGGTAGCATATTGGGAAACTAGTTACTTCTAGCAGATTTGGGTGAGAATTTTTTAAAAGCTTACTATATTTTTCAAGAAATTGATTATATGTCTAAAGAAATCTGTTCAGTGTGTGGACACGATTTTGTGCTAAGTACTCCCTTATCTTTATGATATCTGAGCAGTAAACAATGGTGTCTACTTTTTCAGATATTGGCCATTTATGGACTCTTTCTTTGCTTCTTTGAGATAATCACAGAATTTATCTAATAAATCTAATCAGCTGTACAGAACTTTTCAATGTTCCACCTTTTGCTTCCATTGATACTGTCTTATTTTCTTTCTTATAATTGCATTAATTTATTTTATGTTGTGTTGTGTTATGCTCTGTGTGTGTGTATTTGTGTGTAAATGTGGGCAGATGTTTGTTTGCTTGCTCATGTGTGTGAGTGCAGGCACAAGTATACCATGGTGCATGGGTGAAGTTCAAAGAACAACCTTGGGGTGGTGTTCCTTTCTTTTCCACCTTGTTTTGAGAAGAGACTTCTTCTTCAGCCCATGAGCCAGGCTAGCTGTCCTACAAATTTCTCTTGAAATTCTCCTGTCTCTGCCTCCTATATTCTCTAATGGACATTCTGAATCTTGTACTACAGTGTCTGAATTTTACATAGATCTGGGTATTCAAGTTCTTGTCATCAGGTTGCTTGGCAAGTAGTTTCACTCATGAGACATCTACCCAGCCTCACAATGACAGAAATTTTTTCAGGCTCACTTTTTGAGCCATATGTTATTTAGAAATATGTTTAATCCCTCCAAATTTGTTGATTTTCCAGGTATTGATTCCTAGTTTAATTCCACTCTTGCCTGAGAATGTGGTACTTAATTTGCTGTTAATTCTTTCAGCTTAGCTATGTATATTTTAAGATCTAAAATATTGTATAGTCCAGTTAATGGTCCTTCAAGCTTGGAGAAAATGAGAAGCATGCAATTAAATGTAAACAATTCTGCAACTAAACTTAAAAAAAATACATGGATAAAAAAGGAGTAGATATAAATTAAATTTTATGGCTATCATGTTCCAATGAGACAAAATTGCTGCAACTATTTATAGGATACCACCTGCCATGCATAACTTTATTATTGGGCAGAGTATAAAATTATTTAGGGAAATAAATTTGACAAAATAAACACAGCTTTCAAATTTCACTTCTGTTGAATATCATTTATTTTCATTGACAGAAAATGATATGACTTGTTGGCTATATAATAAAAAAATAAGGAAATCAAGAATTTACTGATATTTTTGGTGAAGTAAAATAAATGGACAAACTATTATATATCACACGGTGAGTCTTTTGCTTCCTAGGGAATTTGCATTCTTGGTCACTGAGCAGTTCAATACGTTCAGTCTCTTGGAGTTGTATCATCTGAATCTAAAAGTGACTGGGTTAACTAGATTCAGGTTCTTTGTAAAGAACTATGTGATCATGTTTCATTACCACTTGCTACAGGCTTAAAGTAGAGAAACAAGGAGGTGTTTATGAGAATGTCACACTTTTGATGTAAGATAAATGACTTTGGGGATAAACGAAAAGGTCTGGATAGTGAGGATGTGAAGTTTAATTTGATTGTAACAATTACACAATTTATGCATATAATATGTAATCACTTTATATACCTTGAGCATGTATAGTTTTTGCAAATTAAATATTTTAAAACAAAAAATAAACAGATTAGTAAGCACAGCATTTGTTATTACAGTCATTATCATCATCCTTTTCTTTTGCTGTTGGTATTTCAAGTGCCTATCCTACTCTGGATCTCATTACGTAGTCTCAGTTACCCTTGAACTTACAATCCTCCTCCTCACCTTCTCAAGGACTGTGATTATGAGCTTATGTCATTATGTCCAGGTCAGTTACTGTTTTAATTAGTGTTTTTCACTACATAATTCACAAAAGTACAGGGTTTTGTTTCTATAAACAAATAGAAATCATCTCTACTTCCTTAAACGCACATCTCTCTAGAAGTGGCCTTCTATCAGAACAAGGAAGGACTTTCAGTACTTTAGCTCTGAGAATTTACTGTAATAGTCATTTTAATATGATGGATGATTCTGAGGGTGGCTTATAATATTACTTGTTACAAAATGAGAAGTCTCTGAAAGCAGTAACAAGTTCAGTCAGAATTCAGGAAAACATTGTTCAGGTTGGCAAAATGCTCTAAATACAAATGAAATGTTATTGGCAGGTGCTGAAATTGTTAGAAAACAACAGATTTGAAAGACTGAAAGCTCCGAGTAAATCTTGGAAGCAGCATTTCTCTTAGTGTCCCTTGATTCTTCCCACTCTGAAGTGTAGGAAATTGAGGAAGCATTGAGTAAGCGATGTTCTGAGTGAATGTATGCTGATGACATGCGCAGCTATGTCAAAGACCTCGGAGCCTCAGACCCATGTAGGCACAGCTTCCTCCCAATATGAGGTAAGGGTCAGTTCCACGGCAAAGTTTTCCTTTGGCGATTGAGAATGAGCATTGACAATATGTGCAGAAAGTTTTCATCATATTGTTGTCCTTTTGGATATTTAAAGCCCGAAGACTGCTTCCTTGCAGAGACTGCTCCCACTGCAATTAGCTAAATCTGTCTTCGATCCAGCTATATATCATAAACCATGCCTCATTGTTTTTCTGGGTGAAATACCCTCTGCCATCTTTTTCAATTCTATATAGAAACAAATAAACAAAAAAACAAAACAAAAGAAAATCAAAACAACAACAACAAAAAACCAGGCTGACCACCCGAGGTGTTGAGATTCCTCTAGCAGAGAGCCAGATCACCCAACCTTAGCTTTTCTATGTGTCTTTCTGTATGTCCTTTCTTCATTTCCTTGTACTCGATCGGGTTCAAGTCCCTGGAGGCTGTGCAGAGCACAGCACCGAAGACTTACTCTTATCGATATTATAAATGGTCCTATATCCTATATCTGACTTCCATCTCCACTCTTCCTCCTTGTATATTGTTCTTTGCCCTTTCAATCATCTGCAATGCTCATTATGATCTACAGAGAGGCAATATCTCTTTAATAATTTCATCATTCTGTGTCTGTGTTTACTGTATTGTCAGTTTACATAAAAAGTATACATACCAATTATTGTGATTATACATTGTTATTTACATAAAAATCAACAACCAAGATAATGTAATCAACAAAATGATTAAAATAACAAATAAATGGTAGAAGTATTTTATATGTAATAAAATATCAGTGGCTAGAGATATGGTTCAGGAGGTAAAGTGCTTGCCATGCAAGCTTGAGGCCCGAGGTAAGATCCTTGCCATGAGAATGCATATGCACACACATATAAACAACCCCTCACACACTTTCACACATATAGAGTACCTCTACATAAAACAAAACTTCAATGCTATTGTCTCATCTACTAATTCTTTTTTAATTAATTAATTTATTTTTATTTTTTAATTATTTATTTTTTTCAAATCGCAACTTTTACTCATTCACACGGGGGTTATGAACACAAACAGGCAGGACATGGGGAAGGGGATGATACCAGAGCGTGGGTATTCAGGGGGAGTACAGATATCTTTCAGAACTGGGTATCGGCCGGGTGAAGGTTCAGAGGATAAGTCACTATGACTCTGCCTATGATTCACTTGTTCTTATCTAAGTTGGTATTATCTGCCAAAGCTACCTATTTACAAGGTCTATGACTACTCAGGCTGGTAAATTTCCACAAAAGCTGCCTGTTTACAATAGTTTATAGCCATCTGTTTCAGTGTTTTCCACTGAGACCCAAGACTTGGTGTTAGTATACATGTCTGACAGGCCTATTGCTGATTTTAGGCCTATGGCTGATTTTAGGCCTTCAGTGCATAAGCAGGGCTGCCCCTGACATCTCCTCCCTTCTCTAAGTATAGAAGGGCTGTGGCAATTCTAAACTTGCCAAGACGGGTATAGAGGCCTGACCTCCAGTAATTAAAGGGGACCTTGTAATGGCTCCAGTCCTCCTGTCATTCTCATCTACTAATTCTTACGTTGAACTGGAACTTGGCTTCCAACATGTCTTCATCCATGTTTTTAAATGAGTAATGTCAGTAAGTATAGTTCCAAAGAGTCAAGTGAAAAGTAACAGACTTGTAATTAAAACAGCATAGGGGATGGACAAGAAACCTGAATCTAAGTCTATGTATAGCATGTTAGGATCACACTGAAAAGCAGTTCACTATGTTATAAAGGATGGATACACAGATTGAAATGGAATGCTTGTAACCTCCTAGTG